GCCACTGAGCCCGGTAAAAAAAAAAAAAAAAATTTTTTTTAAAAGAATTAGCCAGCTGGGGAGCAATGGCTCATGCCTATAATCCCAGCATTTTGGGAGGCGAAGACGAGAGGATTGCCTGAGCTCCGATGTTTGAGCCCAGCCTGATCAGTATGGCAAGACCTCATCTCTGCAATAAATTAGAAAATCAGCCAGGCATAGTGTCACGTGCCTGTGATTCCAGCTACTTGGAAGGCTGAGGCAGAAGGATCACCTGAGACCAGTACATCGAGGCTATGGTGGCTGTGAACATGCCACTGCACTCCAGCCTGGGCGACAGAGTGAGACTCAACTCAAAAAACAAAAAAAAAAGAAGAAGAAGAATTAACCAGGTATGGTGGTGCACGCCTGTACTCAGGAGGCTGAGGCAAGAGGATCACTTGATCCCAGAAGGCCAAGGCGGCAGTGAGTCAGGATAGTGCACTGCACTTCAACCTGGGCAACAAAGTGAGATCCTCAGCTCAAAAATTTAAAGAAAATAACTCTAGAAGAAACAATAAAAGTAAGAGAAAAGCATAGATTTTAGGAATTAATCAAAGCAGCTGTTAAGAGTTCCCTTTGTAAGCTGGGTACCGTTGCTCATGCCTGTAATTCCAGGACTTTGAGAAGCCATGACAGGAGGATTGCTTGAGCCCAGGAGTTCAAGATCAACCTAGGAAACATAGCAAGACCTTGTCTCTATCAAAAATAAAAAGAGGTTAGTCAATTGTGGTGGAACATGCCTACAGTCCGAGCTGCTTGGGAGGCTGAGGTGGCATGATCACTTGAGCCTAGGAGTTTGAGACTGTGGTGAGCCATGATTGCACCACTGCACCACAGACTTGGCAACAAAGGGAGACCCTGACTCAAAATGATTTTTTTTTTTTTTAGTTGGAGTCTCACTCTGTCACCCAGACTGGAGTTCTGTGGCCGCTCCCGGCCACCGCAGCCTCGACATGCTGGGCTCTGGCGATCCTTCCATCTCAGCCTTCCAGGTAGCTGGAACTACAGGTGCGCACTACCATGCCTGGATGATTTTTTGATTTATTGTAGAGATGAGGTCTCGTCAAGTTGCCCAGGGGGGTCTCGAACCTGGGGGCTCAGGCAATCCACTCACCTCAGCCTCCCAAAGCACGGGATTACAGGCTGAGCCACCAAGCCCAGCTATCAAAACGATTTTTATAATAAAAAGAAATCTTTTTGTAATCTTAAAGTTGCTTGAACTGGTATATGTGTTGGGGACAAGAAAGTGAGGGGAAAGTAGATGCTAGCTTGAAGGGTTCCCTATAACTCAGTAAGAGAATAGTTTGCAGGAAAGCTTTTTTTTTTTTGAGTTGGAGTCTCACTCTGTCGCCCAGACTGGAGTGCAGCGGCCGCTTCCAGCCACCGCAGCCTCGACCTGCTGGGCTCCGGCGATCCATCCGCCTCAGCCTTCCAAGTAGCCGAAATTACAGGCATGCGCTACCACGCCCAGCTGATATTTTTTGATTTATTGTATAGATGAGGTCTCGCTGCCCAGGTGGGTCTCGAACCCTCGGGTTCAAGCAATCCACTCACCTCAGCCTCCCAAAGGCGCGGGATTACAGGTTGAGCCACCGAGCCCAGTTTGCAGGAAAGCTTTTTAAGTTCAGCAGAGAAATAGGTACCCACACTGTCCAGGCCAGATGTCTAGTGTTGACAGGGTGAAAATGGTGCTATGATGGAGAAGTTCAAAGCAACAAAGTAGGTGTACACCCAAAGACAAAGATATACTTACTTAGGCTCAGAGTTAAGTGAAAGCAGTAAGCGGTAATATCTAGAAACTAATATTTTTGTCTATTAAAAATTCATTTGCCGGGCTTGGTGGCTCAGCCTGTAATCCCGTGCCTTTGGAAGGCTGAGGTGAGTGGATTGCCTGAGCCCGCGGGTTCGAGACCCGCCTGGGCAGCGAGACCTCATTTTTACAATAAATCAAAAATCAGCCGGGCATAGTAGCACATGCCTGTAATTCCGGCTACTCGGAAGGCTGAGGCGGAAGGATCGCCGGAGGCCAGCAGGTCGAGGCTGCAGTGGCCGGGAGCAGCCGCTGCACTCCAGTCTGGGCGACGGAGTGAGACTCCAACTCAAAAAAAAAAAAATTCATTTTTAAAAGCCCAGCTAAGATACAAAGAAGAAGAAATTTCAGCTTGCATCCATTGAAAAGAAAGAGACGAGAGAAGAAATGGGAAAGAAAACAAAATTTGGATAAATAATCAGTGAAAAATTTCCAAATTTTATTTAAAAAAAATTTTTTTTTTTGGAGTTGGAGTTTCAATCCATCGCCCAGACTGGAGTGCAGCGGCTGCTCCCGGCCACTGCAGCCTCGACCTGCTGGCCTCTGGTGATCCTTCCGCCTCAGCCTTCCGAGTAGCTGGAATTACAGGCATGTGCTACTATGCCCGGCTGATTTTTGATTTATTGTAAAAATGAGGTCTCGCTGCCCAGGCGGGTCTCGAACCCGCGGGCTCAGGCAATCCACTCACCTCAGCCTTCCAAAGGCACGGGATTACAGGCTGAGCACCAAGCCCGGCAAATGAATTTTTAATAGACAAAAATATTA